GGCGTTATAGTTCCTTTTGAAATATGGGTACAAAAAGGAATTAAATTTAATAATTTGTGTCTTTGGGTTGCATTGATCAATATAGCAAAACCAACAAAAATTCTGCAGGCTAATGATCGACAAAGTATCCAACTAACATCTATGCATTCAAATCAAATTTACTGGAAACTTCTGGAAAAAGATATCCTAATTCTGGTGGTAGAATATGTAGCTATCTTAAAAATAAAAATATTACCTGGGATGAAATATTTCAGCTTCCACATGTAGTAGCAATAGATTCATACACGAAGGTTTTTTCAGTATAAAATTCTGCACAATTTTCTTGCTACCAATTATTGGTTACACAAATGGAAAATTAAAGATAGTGACAAGTGTAGTTTTTGCTATGTCCATAGTGAAACTGTTTTTCATATATTCTGTGATTGCACCCCTGTAAAATTGTTTTGGGCAGACTTTTTCGAATGGTGGAACAAAACTAGTAACATGCATTTACAGTTGACAAATGATATTAACATTACTGGATCCTCTAATCTTCAAAATATTTTGAATTACATTATAATCATTGCAAAACAATTTATATATGATTGTAGACAAGACGGAAAAGTATCCTCTTTCAGACTATTCATTTGTAAAATTAAAAACGTGTTTAATTTAGAAAAACGTCTTGACAGATTCAATGACAAAAGTGTCCTATTCAGAAACCGATGGGGACCACTATAAACGCAATACTTAGCGTATTAGTTTATATTTTTATAAGTAGCTGTTGGCATACAGCGTTGGCTGTTTTTGTTTTTGTTTTGTTTTTGTACTTGTCTATGTAAATTTATTAATAGATAATAGCAAAGATTTGTATTATAACATAAATAAGTTAACACATATTTTAGTGAGTGGTGGTGAATCTTCACTGAAGGTCATATCAGCATCCAAATGTAAACGCAAACATAAACCATGGTTTGATAAGACGTGTAGTGAACTACACAATGAAGTTAATCATTTAGGGAAAGTGATAAAAGCAAATCCAAAGAAATTAGACATGAGACAGGTATACTATAAGACCAAAAAAAAAACTGCGAAAAATGATTAAAAATGAACAAAAGTCTCAAATTATGAAAAAAATTGCTCATCTAAAAGACATAAATTGTAACAATAAAGACTTGTGGAATCTGATTAAGTCATTCAATAAGAAACAATTACGAAAACAAAGTATGGTAATTTGATAACTTCGGAATGCTGGTTTAATTTTTATAAAAAAACTGAATTCTACAAATGATCAAAACTATGATAACAAATCTGAAGGTTCAATTATAAAGAAATTAGAGGAATTAGAGAAGAAGAAAGGCAAAGTACACAACATGACACTGGATAAACCAATAGTGGAAAAGGATGTCAAAGAGGCAATTAAAACATTGAAAAATAGAAAAGCATGTGGATTTGACAAAATTTCAAACGAGATGATAAAATCCAGTTTCATGTACATTAAACACCATTTACTCAAAATATTTAGTACAGGGTGAAAAATACCCATTCCTTTGGCATAAAGGATATATTGTACCAATATATAAATCAGGTAACAAGGATGATCCTTCAAACTATAGAGGTATAACAATAAGGAGCTGTTTAGGAAAATGGTTTTCAATTATTCTGAATAACAGGCTAAACAAGTTCCTTAATGATTATAATATTATATCTAAATATCAAATTGGCTTTAAGAAAGACTGCAGGACCTCTGATCATGTATTTGTTCTCAAGTCTATTATGAATAACCATAACAAAATTAGAAAAAATGGCAAAATTATTAAAAAATCACAGCCACTTTATTAGTCTGTTGACAGTCCTCTGGCCTAATGTAATTGAGTTCCTAGACATTCGTTTGATGGGAAATGCAAACCATTTCACGCGAGGGACATTAGTCCAGAGACTGTTCCTTTCTGCAGGTTTCTAGTTGATATGAATAAATTATATTAACATAATGTATGCAAATTTATTCTGAATGATCCCCTGAATGCGTTGGTTGTTCACGTTAGTATGAACACAATGAAAACAGACACTCCAACCAAAATACAAAAGAAAACTATTAAATCGCCTAGAATCAAGGAAACAACGTGCATTGTTTCGGCAGTCAAATAGAAAATATAGAAAACCGGAGGAGACTGTTTCGCGGGATCAACAGAACTACGACATGTGAATTTGTTGTGGCAGAGACAATCGATCTACATCTTGCCAGTTCGTATGCGTGCAGAAAATGTGGACTGAGAGCGTCGACTCTGCATAAAAACATGGATAAGTTTAGGAAGAAATTTAAACAAACTAAGCGAGAGTTATTGGAAAGGTCGCAGGCATTTTCCTCTAAAAAAGTGGGGGATCCCTGGTTTCGTCGAAACAAGTTCTTTTTGACAAGTCGAATGTAAACATGACACGCTGATGAACACATCTCTCCCCTCTGTGTAGTTTGCGATAGCGTCTCACTGGTATTCTTTGTAAGAAGTATCATGGTAGTCTTAACGTTCCAGCATTTTTACAATGCTTTCGTCAAAAACTCCTGTGAAAAGTGTCGCGATCACGCATAGTACAGTCAAAACAAACTTAGTAGTAGCCAGCCATCCCTGACCCTTTTCACGATTGGCCACGATAAAATGATAGACATCTGCGTGACTATTCATTTGCATATGAAAGTACCCGGATCTGGTACGAAATCTTACCAGTGAATTGCAGAACAAGACAGTCGGTCGTGCCTAACAGCACTCCATACTTCCTGTCCCGGTACTCGCAATTTATTCACGCCTATTACTTTTATACACAATATTTATTAATAATAACAGATTAAGATTGGTACGACCCACTGTCGACAGTCTACCTCTTTATATGTGTTTTGTGAATTTGGCAAAAGCTTTTGATACAATTTGGAGGAATGAACTGTTTTACAAAATGTACAGAAATGGGGTGAGTGACAAGTTCTTCAAAGTCATCAACAGTATGTATAAGGAGTTAAAATCATGTGTTAGATTGGAAGATGGGTACACTAATTATTTTGAAAGTAGATTAGGCACTCGCCAAGGGTGTCCACTATTACCAACCTTATTCAACATACTTGTGAATGATTCACCAAGTGTTCTTATGAAAGATACAGCTGATTGCCCAATTTTGGGTAAGGAACCAATTCCATGCCTTATGTATGCTGATGACATAGTCATCCTATCAAAGACTAAATCTGGACTACAAAACTCCCTTTTTAAATTACAAAACTATTGTAAAAGCTGGAAATTAAATGTTAGTGTAAAGAAAACAAAAATTCTGATTATGAACAAAAAAATTGATAATTCAGAGAATTTCTATATTGATAATAAAAAGATACAGATTGAAAATCAATTATCATATTTAGGAATCAATTTTAACTCAAATATAGTACCTTCAAAACCTGCATTAAATCATTGACTCTGGATGCAACATATCAATATTTATGCCAATACCCAAATTAACACACTATGTTATTTATTTGACAGCATGGTAAAACCAGTTTCTATACATGTATATGGGAGTGAAATATGGGGTGCCTATACCATCAACAATTTCGAACACAAAAGGGACACTCAAATCAATCACAAATGACAATTTGGAATATGAAAAACTACATTTAAAATTCTGCAAGAATACATTAGAAGCTAGCTAGTCCACAGGAGAAGCTCAAACATTGCATCACGGGCGAATTAGGTCGATACCCCATACATTTGGAGATAATTAACAATGTGTTCTCCTACTGGGCAAAAATAGCAAATGGGAAGTCCCCGATTCTGACAAAGATAGCATAACAAAATGAACTGTATCTACACGAACAACGACAGAAATCATTTGTAAATTTTATAAAACACATGTTAGAAACACTTAAAGGCCCAATTCACTTGTATAGCCTATGACGCATCCTGTTTCAGCGGTCCAACATCACGTGACTTTGATTGACAGTAGTTAATTATTCTAGATTAGTAGTGTGTCCCTTTCCCCGGTTTGAGTTTTTGACTTTTATCCGCCAAAATCTCAGCTCGTACACTATTTATTGTCAGAAATACTACACACAGTCACTGCTGTGATATTCATAGTCGCATGCATCCACTTTGGCATGACATAATCGACCTGTAAGTTCGAGAAAACGCGATATTACCGGGGCTTGGCTGGAGCTGTTTACTACAGCGTGGCAAGCAAGGAAATAATTCCTATTGTTTAGGACCGTATTTATAGTATACCTGGGCCTTTAAGTGTAACAAACTCTGGGAAGCTAATAATCTAAATTCTAAAAACATTAAAAAAAAAATTTAAATTAAACTTAAAGATACATATAATAATGAATGGATGAAGCAACTTAATAAAAACAACAATCAAAATGTTGGCAGCAAATTAAAGACATACCTACTGGTAAAGAAAAATTACAAATTTGGTGTTTATCTTTAAAGTAATTTGAATTATAAAATAAGATCAGCAATTACAAAATTGAGAATTTCAAGCCATAACTTGCCAATTGAGAAAGGGCGGTACAATAATATCCATCAAAAACAAAGAATATGCAAATTGTGCGACTCATCTGAAGTGGGTGATGAAAAACACTATGTTATAGACTGTTCAAACTCAGATATTAAATCAAATAGAAACATTTTTTTTCACAATATTAGCTTTCCAGAATTTGAAAAACTAAATCAAGAATGTAAATTCATTTATTTGTTAAGTGCTTTGGATACTCATCTTATGATACCTTTCGCCAAATATGTTAATTCTATTTTAAATGTAGTTTAATAATAGTTGTATTTAGAGGCCATATACCGCCGTATTGTACTATATCGGTGTTGTGTCAATAAATTATTATTATTATTATATAAGTGCCCATGAACCTTGGTCTCATCCTTAATTATAAATACAGAATAAGATATGGAGATTATACCTTGTAGATTGGGCTAGTTTAGCATCAACTATAACAGCAAAACATGACATCTTCGTTGGAGTACCGAACTAGCGCTCATACATGGGCGCAGCCATTTTTATAAAATTACCCATAACCCCCAACTAACAACAAAGTTGAGAGATTGCCATAGTTATGGGCCGAACGAGTACAATGTGCAAGCTATAGCACAGAAAATATCACATCTTATAACCAAATATGTTGTGTTCCATTCGGGATTTCATTTATCCCGATTCCTAGAGAAGTCCGTATCCACCTTGACCTAACCACACCCGTCGATTTTGACCCTAGCTCATTCGGTTTCTAGTTCCCCGACCAAACAATTTTTTCCACAGCGTGAACCACCTGTTTAATCACAGGGAGCCCAGGAACTATAATCAACTGTAATACGGAGTTTTTATGAGCGCGGGGGGGGGGGGGTATCGGCTTGTATCTAGTGTAAGAAATAGACAAGGGATGAAGGCTCCAGCCAGCTCACATTTTTTAAACTCGAAAAAACAGACGAAAAGAATGAAAAATAAAATCTAAAAAAAATACCAGGTTGAAGAATATTAGTTGCTTTTTCAAATTTCGCCAAAGCCCTACCTACATTTTACCGATATCTGCAGAATAAATCAAGAAAACTACACTTTAACCGCCCATTGAGACTACTCATTTCTGTAATATAAATACATTTATATATTTTATTCCGTACAGACTACAGGACCTGACGTACACAGATATTAACATTATGATAGTAGAATTATAATTATTGAACTTATGCCAACAATAAAGCAAACAAAAAACATATACACAAAATTACAGACATTAAATAACGCTACACCGACGCACCCAAAACATATAAGTCCACGTCCCAGACTTCGCCGATAGGGGCCAAAAGGTAACTTTCATTTCAGCACAAAAGGCTTTTTATTTACAAGTAAATAGGACACTGCTTAAGAGGGGTTGTTCGTCGCGCTGCGCATGTGCGACATTTGTGTTGATAAACATTGATTTTCCCACAAGTATGAAGTTTGACCTGGGCTCGACTAATTACTAATTGCACTAATTACCAGCGATGACTTCTCCGATACCTTCCAATCACGTAAAAACATACCTAAGTAAAGCTTGATAACGCCTCAGTTAGTAATCGTTGATCTGTGCAACAGTCAAAGTCGCCATGTTTGTTTATATGAAACACATATATCTCGTGCATGCGTGGCGCGACGATTACCACCCTTTAAATTAATATCTAAGTGCGTTTAATAAATGTATAGTGAAAAAAAATGGATGAGTACAGTTCAGAAGTTCACAAAATATCAGCAGGCGATGGCGATCTTTAACATAATATTCAGGGATATATTCGTTTCTTAAGTTTTTGAAGCTTATATTATATTCGTCTTCTACGACTCTGTTGATACACAAAGCACATGTTCTTCCTATTTTGGGGTTATTGATACATTTATATTAATACATGTATTGATAATATTTTTAGTGAATGCGCAGATACACGTAACCTGGACAATGCACCCCGAAAGCTGTATTACTGACACAGAGTGGGTAAATTGTAGAATTTAAGGTTGTTTTGAATATTTTATATAGACCAAGTTTCAGATAATTGTCTATTTCACCATTCCATAGCTGAACGTCAATATCTCTACATCTCTGTTTAAACACCGAAATAAATGATATGTCCAACACCGAAATAAATGATATGTCCAACACCGAGATAAATGATATGTCCAACACTGAAATAAATGATATGTCCAGCACCGAGATAAATGATATGTCCAACACTGAAATTGACAGCAATCGCAATGTAACGATTAGAATTTATTTTGATGACGCGGATCATAGTGTCGAGATTTCACTGTGCAACGACAAATTTCACTTCTAACTGTGCTGGGTTACATACATTACATGATAGTTTAAATACTTATTTCCATAACTTGTGAAGTCCATCATTAACACCTGTAGCATTATCAAAAGCCCATACATGAAACATATTTAAACGAATACCATTCAATTCCACGAGACACACCAAAACAAAAGTGGTCTTTATTTAGAAAATGCGGTAATGTCGGTGGTCTATTAGTGAGCGCAATAAAAATATACAATGATTTGATACACACCTTGCCCTCTCTGTGAATCGTTGATACAAAAATAAAAAACCGAGATTCGAGACTTACGAACTAATAGAAGAAGATATTTATCATTGGCTCTGCTCGTTTTTGAGTAATTGCAGCCAACGTGTTCTTCTTAGGGCACCATGTCATTTTGGGCAAATATGACCTGATAACAGTGGCATATGTGTTTTTCTGTTTACTGATATCTATTTTTATCACATCGTGGTGATGCTAGATATTACTGCTGTATCGCCTTCTTCGGACTCACCATTGTTTCAGACTCGCCATTGTAATATGTCTCGTTGTATACAATGTATAGACACATATCTCGTTGTGTACATTGTATAGACACATATCTCTTTGTATACAATGTAGAGACACATATCTCGTTGTATAAAATGTATAGACACATATCTCGTTGTATACAATGTTTAGACACATATCTCGTTCTATACAATGTATAGACACATATCTCGTTGTATAAAATGTTTAGACACATATCTCGTTCTATACAATGTATAGACACATATCTCGTTGTATAC